AGGAGATACAGAGTCGGTTCTCAGTTCCACTAAATCCATACTCACACATCGAGGAGGAAATGTTCTGACTCACTAAGCCTCACAGTTGATACCATCCACCGTCAGTCTCTGGTTTAAAAAAAAAAAGGTAGCACCTGCTGCTGCTGCTCTGCCCTGATGCAGCGTCTTCCTGGGCAGAGAGAACATCTCCTCACTCTGTCCAGGTTCACTGTGTCCCATGTTTGGATCGTTTAGTTCACATGAGGACACATCTGCTCCGCTTGCAGTAAACTAGCAGTGCCTCGGAGCCTCAGCTCTTGTAGCCATTTTACTCGGGGACAGTCCCTGCAGTGTCTCACCGTCCCCGTCATCAGCATCAGCACCGAGCTCCCCATCACCAGGGAATGGACTGGGTCTGCTCAGTGTACCAGTGGCTCCACCGACAGGGGATAAAGGGATAAAGAGCCTCTGCTCAGGGACTGATTACTTACATCTGCCAGGCTAAATCCCAGTGCCCACACACACACACATATAGAACATGTACACACTCACAAATCCACAAAGCATTCTGTGTAACAGCACACATGCACACACTGGGCCTGCTGTTAGCTCCAGCTGATGCAGTGGTGTGTGGAGAAGCTGTACACACTGTTGTGTTATTCAACACACGTGTTCAATACATGTTCAGCCATCATGAACTCATACTATGGCTCATAAAGAAATACAGACAATGATACAACAGTACTGGCCCCGGGCACAGGGTCTCTCTATCTGTTATTGAAATCAGTTTCCCAGAACAGAGGTTTCTGGCTGTTTTTTTTTTTTTTTTTTTTTTTTATGTTTGTTTGTTATAATCCTCTGTAAATACAACGCAGAACATTATTGCATTGTAGTTGTCTTATGTCACATGTCGTGAAGTATGACTTTCCTCCGGCTTGGACATTAAGGTTTCTGTCAGTTTGTTTCTTATTATGTTTTAAAATGAGTAACAACAATGTCTTTCTCTGGATTTTGACATTTTTTGATCGATATTTTTAAAATGTCTCCTCAGATGGTAGTGTTGTTGTCCAATCTATTGTTGCCAGATTACAGGGAGCATTACTAGGAAATGGCCAACGTCTTGATGTCACTGACCTGCTATTGGTCAGTCCATCTGTCAGTCACACATGCTGACTAGTCATGGGTTGATATCTTTTCCACTTCCCTCAGTATGAGCTGATAATTTGCAGTGATATTATTGTCTATTAGGGATAACCTGAGACAGTGTGAGAAGAAGATACTGACAGTGGTTCACAAAATGGGGGGCTGCAAAGCTATTGTGAAAGCGGTCGTATTTTTTCAATATTTTTGTGCCACATTTGGTCAAAAGCACTGATTTGTAATTTTACTGGTATTTTAATGAGTGTAAAGGTTCGGTCGTAGCTAAATAAGGTTTGGGTTTTTTTGAGTCATTACAGAAAAGTTGCTTACAGTTACATTTTTAGACCAATTTCTGACCAGAATTTCAGTTCAGATACCCACGTCGACAGCTTCCCACAAAAGTAATGTGGTCTAATATTGCTGCTATAATGTGTGTACTCAACCAACCGATGGTACATCACTGGAAAGAGGGGAATATTTTATTTTATATTAGTCTTTTCAGTTCCAAAATTTGAATGTTGACAGTAGTACACAGCTGGCATCACTGTCCAACATGCCTGGCCCACTGACCTCTCACTCCAGCTCATTTTACCCATCCATGCTATAGAAGGGAGGGGGGCGATGTGAGCGGGGTGGGGGGCATATTAATCTCATGGTCTGAGTGCTTGCTGCCAGAGGGCTTACCTCGATCAGCTGAGATTTGTGTGCACGTTCACACAGACACACCTGTGAACATACAGACGTGCTGCACAGTGCACAGATTATAAATACAGCTGAGTGCAAGTCAATATTATATAATTCAGCATTAAGTTGCTGAAACAGCACTGAAATCACTGAAGCCCACCAGGCTGCAATAAAACTGATGAATGGCTCAGATGATTCAAGTGTGAGCGTTAGACGGCGATACAGTCAGAGCGGTGAGGAGACGTACAGATAAAGTGTGTCAAAAAATACTGACCACTGGTCAAATACTGACAATGAGGCTGGAGGGGGCTTTGATGTGCAGAGCTCCACTCTCTATGAAGCCGTACACTCACAGAAGGACTGGAACCAAGAGTACGCTTTGAATATTTGACTCATACCTTGTTGTCTCAAATACTCCTGAATCTGTGTTTCACAGTAGAAAACAATCTGTTCTGTACTTATTTAAAACGTCAGTATCCTGTGAAGCTCAGCTAGGTGGGGTGGGGTTGGGTGGTGTATTTCTTGCATACACTGACTTTAAAGATGAGTCCATCTGTAGCCGTCTTGATATGGCCGCTGCTGTTGATGTTATCAGATCAGAACACAGACACAGATTGATCCCACATTCACCAGCTGCCTTCAGGGGCGCAAGAATTCCCAAGAATTCATACAACCAATTACCGCCACCTTGAGGCCCGATGAGAATCAGCTCTTATCGTTCGAAGATAACACATTGGGGATTCGTGACTAAAACCACGAGCTGCTGCGAGTATCATGTATGTCAGCGTCGACAATTGAAAAATCCAAAGGCAGAATTTTAATTAGAATATATTTTTAAAACAAAATCTGTAAGTGAGGTGCAGGACCAGGCATCTCCTGCTCATCCTAAGTTTGATTCAAATCCCTGTGAGGATTAGAGCCCAGTGTGAGGGTGCTGGCTGCAGCCTCCGATAATGCGTAAAAAAGATGCCCTTTATCAACCGTCGGGCACAGACACGTGACTGACAGACACTGTGTTGTCATTAAGGACAGAAGGCGACAGCAGTTGACTTTTGCGCAGTGGAAACAGCCCCGTTGATACAAACACGGCGGAGACACAGGCGCTTCCTCTCGGACGCAGCTGCAGGGCAGCGGCACGCGCTCTTACGCACATGCACACAGGCCATAAACAGAACAGCCACCAGCACCAAACACTGTAGTGTGTGTGTGCGTGTGTGTGTGTGTGTGTGTGTGTTATCTATCCCGGGGTCTCGGAGTTTTGTGAGCAGGGGGAGCGAGTGTT